AAAAAATACTTTGGCTTAGCATCTAGAAATAGGGCAATGACAGGTGCTCGAAGTGTAGAGCATTGCAGCTGAATGATAGCAAACAGCAGAGGGGGTGTGTAGTCATAGGAAAACCCTTGTTTCGTTCAATGAACTTATTTCAAAGAGTGGAAAGTTACAGTAGGGAAAATGAAGACATAGAACATTGTATTAACAGTTTGGGTAACTTCAAACATCAGTGAGTTTCTTGTCATAAGTAGTGAGAAATTGGAAGACATTCTTAATCTAGATAGTCAGGTTAAATAGTTGAAATGATTTCAGTATAGGAACTCTCCAAACCAAACCAACCTGATGAGAGAACTTGGTGGACAGTAATGGAGCAAATTTTAAGTTTACAAAGAAGATTGCATTTTTTCAGTTGGCTTTTACTTTGTAGGGCAAACAAGTACCCCAAAGGCATTTATCTCTGAAATTGCAAGACACCAATTGTGTACTAGCCCAATCAGCCTGTTTTTAAGTTTTGGCACTTTATTTTAGTTTTACATAATACATGTTTGTGTCCAATAAAGAGAGCTAGAAGTATCAGAAGGAAAAGATGAACTTAAACAAAAGATGACGAGATTTTCTAAAAGCTTTGACTATTTTTGTCCTGACAATAGACCCCCTGATGTGAAAGTGATACCACCCAGAAAGAAAGACGAATCTTGCAGTCTCCTCTTTTTCTTTTACAATAGCAAAGGATAAAAATATTAAAGAAAAAACAAACTCTCAGAAAAAAGTTAAAGACACATTTATAAACATGACAACTTTAAAAAAAAAAAAACAACAACATAAAAACAAGAAGAAAAACAAAAAAAAAAAACAATGAGGTTTTCCACAACACTTAACACCAAATCAGGAACAAATGTCAACTGTTGGATTTCAGAATGAAACAAAAACCAGTGCGACACCAAATGGTTCAAAATTTATGAGCCATAATAGGGCACTGAAGACTGTCAATATCTTGGAACACAGAATCACAGTCATATTTGTATTAGTTAGACTCATATACAGATACATGACTCGAACAATTTCTTAGTTGAGATAAAAGTTCCAAGAATAAGGGAGAATGATAAGTAAGGTAGCTGCCTGCCTGCTCACGAACACCAAATATTGAGTACAAACTTAACAAAAGCAGACATGAAAGAGTTCTAATTGCAACTTATAAAATGGTCTCATCTTTGTGGGTTTATTGTATCTTTGAGATTGATTCAAAATTTAACGTCTTTCAGTACAGTAAAAACAAATTCATGTAAGCCCATGGGTAAATGAAGAGATTAAAACATTAAGACAGGTCTTACATAGTCAATTACATTTGATTGGTCTTGTTCAGATTGCTCTCAGATATCAATAATTTTAATACGCCCCCTATTCTTTTCAGCTGATTTCATCAATATCAAAGAAGGGGCCAAAAAGAATAGTCAAAAGGCAAAACAATAACAAAAATGCTTATCAATTTTAAAGCCACACATTCCTTAACAAATTCTAAAAAGGTAGAATGCAAAACAATTCTCCAATAGGAAATCTCATTTCTGATTTGGAAAACGAAAAGCCACCGCCATCTTAAAATGAATTGGTACACAGCAAATACCACAAAGCCCCTCTTCGGACATGGTCCTAAGGCAACATACCTTACAGCAAAAGGTCATTCACTCACAACACTACATAATTCTAGTTCATCAGGTAGAACTGTGACATTCAAAATGTGAATGTTTTGTAACAGATAGTTTGGCTTGATGCCTTCTTTTCAAGTGATTTAATTTTCTGAAAGTTGAATTTTAGACACAGTTCTCCCAGTTGATAAAGTTAATATAAAGTAAAGAATATACAAAATGCAATCCTGAAGAAAAGTAGAAATAGCATCTTCCAAAGTAAAATAAAGCGCTAGGAAGGCTTCTTAAGTAATTCTTTTCATAATATTGAAAATTCTTTAAACTTGTTGTCACAAAACACAGTTTTAGAAGAAAGAGTTTCTTTCTTTTCACAAATGCAATGGAATACCATAAATCATGAGTTATCAGAAATGGAATGAAAGTTATCCAGATGTAATGTTCTACTCTTTTGACACGTCATAAGTTAAAATTGCTTACAATATTAGTCCTTATGGTCTCCAGTGTCCGCAGTATCTACTGTAATGTTTCGGCTTAAAGTTCGACAAATAAAGACTGTAAAATTTGAAAGATTGAATCACAAAGTCTTGGGTAGTCCTGTTTTAGCAGAGGAGTTTCCTCGCCACAGAAATTTAAATTTACATTATTACCAAATGCTCAGAACTGCTGTACAAAAGGTTGATACACATACATCTTATCACTTTCTCACACACATTTTTTTTCACTTACGCTCAGACTAACCACACTTACAGGTATTACTTTTTAAATGCAATGTTTGGGAATTTTGTGAACAAAAGACCAAATCTATGACATGACAAGAAGAAGTACACAGTATTATTAATAAATGGTAAAAAATTGGACAAAATATATTGGTAAAAGTTTAATGATTGAGATTTTAAGTAAGCAGTCAAAATTAGACTGAGAAAAGTGTGAAACTAATAAGATAATTACTGTATAAGTTTACTAGAATTTTGAGTAGCTCAACACTACAATATAGCCCTTCCATTTTTATTCATTTTCTGTCAGAACACAATATCTGATTTGCTTTTAGGATTAATCAGTGTATTCAGGTACCCCTCTTATTTGTAACAAATAAAAAGGAAGAAAAAAGGAGGGACTTTTAAAAGACCAGAATACGACATTAATTCACAGAAAATTGGTTAGGCCTTCATGGTAATGAAAGAAAATGCAGTTCTAGCTGCACAGCAACTTATTATTGCAAATTCTTACATGAAATGTGAGTGAATGACCCTCTGCCTCTTAGTCATTGTCCGTGGGTGCCTGTCACTCCAGGCTTTATTTACAAATATGGCAGTAAAAATCGGTTTTGACATCACATGCAGAAAAACTCAGATATAAAATTGCTCATAAGTGATACCTTTATCAAATTGAGCTGGAATACTAAATGCAATACAGTTACAATGTGTACATTTAATCAGAACAACTCTTAGACTGTCTCATGGGCTGCACAATTCCATATTATTTCATACCATATTTTTAACCCTTTTTCAATTTCATTTTTTCAATTCCTACTTGACGGCAGCTAGCAGGTCCCCAGTGGATGGCAGATGCTAGCAGTGTTTTGCCGTCACTAATAGGCCAGCAAGAGAATGGGACACCCGTCGGCGATAGAGCTGGCTCTCTGCCTGCATTCCATGCCGTTGGGAAACTTGACACTACACCAAGTTGTATTCCTTAAGATTTGACTGAAGAATTGTGTCCTTTACAGCAGCAAACACAAATCTGATGTTCTCAGTGTCTGCAAGCAACAAAAATTGATTACTGGATAAAATTTTGCATTCGTTTCATGCTATATTAAAAGATAGTTCTACATAAAAAGTATGATATGCATTTTACACTTTTAACTCAAGTCATTTTCATGACTGGTAACCTTCATCAAGGACAGGAAATAGGTACTTATAATGTGTCTACAAAGAAATGTATTTCCTTCTCATGTTTTTCATTTTACAGATCAATCAAGTCTTTAGCACTGAATTTGACTATGAATTTGTATTTAGAAGAAATATGGATCACAAAGTAGTAAAAGTTTAATATCTACTGACTAAATATGAAGATATGAAGTTCTAGAAGATATTGTTACCAGAAACAAACCTTTAACCTTGAACACAAAAATCCCCCAGACATACTCACATTTACCCCCAAAAAACACGTACACACACTTACATTTTCATTAAAACGCACAAAAGCCTTTGCAACAAATTGTTCATGCACTTGTTAAAGAAGCCAGGCTTTACTCAATAACCACACATATAATAAAGTACCAATATCAGAAGGTCTATCCACCAAGAAACAAATATAATTTCAGACATGCCTCTACCTGATAAACTAACAAATAGATAGGATGAAAGAAAAATAACGACAGATAGATAGTTTGAATCTAATACAAAATGACTCAGATTAGAATATATATAACTCGGTAGTAGTAAAAGAAGAACATCTCTCAGCTGTTGAAACACACATGCACATGAGTCAACATACAGAAACACCAACATGCACAAATCCCTCCTCTTTCCACACTCACACTCACACATGCAAACAAACCTTAGAGCCCATGCTCGACAAAATTATTTAACTCATTAATATTGGCACATATCAAAAATTGGAAGTGAGGCAGAGAGGCCTACATGCCTCGAAGATATACATAAAAGAATTTGGAGGAGCGTATTTGGCATTAAAAAATGAAATTCAACCCATTTTAAGCCAAATTAAACTCCTTTAAAGCATTTTGCATGATTGTGTCCTTGACAGCACAGAACACAAGCTTAATATTTTCCGTGTCTAAATAGACACACACAAAAAAAATATTGTTATAAAAGCAGTTGTTGCCATTTAAGGTGAGACATCCATTTGAAGAGAGAGCATGCAAACAGAAAAATTTTAACTATTAATTGAAGAAAGAAACAGGAAAACAACACAATGCAAAATAGGAAGAGATTTTTTCAACTGAAAGGTTTACTACAATACTAACTACCTCAGTGCAACAGTCATGCCAAGCAAAAAGCAGACAAAACAAGGTTATAAACCTACTGTCCATGCAAATAAATTTTAAACAAACTAAGGACATACCTGTGGCACATGTGAAATGTGAGTAAATGATTTTTTCTGTGTCAGGATTGAGCTCAACAAACATACGAAGGATGTATTCTCTAGCTGCAATAGCATCTTTCTGAGGTCCTATAAGGGTAAAAAGTTAGAAAGCGAAGACAGGGTTAATGAATTATACCTCAAAATCAAAAGGTGCTGTTCGAATTAAACTAGCAAACAAAATCTAAGCAACATCAATCATAGCAAAACATAGGGTGGTGTAGGGAGCTGGCCAGTTTTGGAACCAAACAAAAATAAATTGAAACAAAAGCTGGTGAAGAGTCAAATGTATGGCTTTACATACAGGATACAGGTCAGCTAACAACCTGGAACCACTAGTACCACCAGTAGTTTGTTGATTGTTTATGGAAGCACTAATAAATACACAACACTTGTGCTTCCCTTTCCAAAATACTGTGAAAATACACAAAGGATTCAAGGCTGTATGCTTAAAACTTAAAATAAAATTGTCATCTAATGGAGGAAAATTACTAAGGATGAGGCTATTTGAAGCCAGACCTGTGGCACTAGTGAAGTGTGAGTAACACGTGCGGTCCGGATCCGGGTTGAGAGAAAGATAGCCTTTCAGAATAAACTCTCTTGCCGCAACGTGGTCACATTTGGGGCCTGAGCAATTGTAATGATCTTTATAAAATTTCAACCAAAACTATAGAGTCGAACACAAATTTACGAATTTAGCTTGAAGTAAACAAATCAAATAATACTAATTGGCAAAACTGAAACTTTGGTCTCCTCCAATATGAGTTGAATAGTGTGTTGTTGTTTTTTAAACTTTTTTAAGAAAATAGCTATTATAAAATTAGGAAATTTCAAATGATGGTCGAAGTTGTAGAAATTATTGAATACAGAACAGATAAGACGAGTACAACTTACCATCATATTCAGGGAAATAGTCCACTAAATGTGACTGCAATATCTTTTCTTCCAAAAGATCCTTCTTGTTTAAAAACAGAATCACTGACGAATGTTGGAACCATGGATATGTGATGATGGTTTTGAATAAGGCCTTACTTTCTTCCATTCGATTCTGGAAGTAAAATAACAGTTTTATTTGACTGAGGCAGTTTTATTCAAGGTGAAAATTTAATAGGTCCACCATAAAAAAAAATATCTTACCTCATTTTCTGATTCAAACAAGATTTGATCATATTCACTGAGTGCAACCAAAAAGATAATGGATGTTACATTTTCAAAACAGTGGATCCATTTTCTTCTTTCTGATCGCTGCCCTCCAACATCCACCATCCTAAAACAATAAAAAAGACATTACAGAAAGTTCCTTTTGCAAGATCGCAAAAACTACTAGCCTTTTAATTAATGGCATGTACATCAAAAGGCAATTACAGAGAAATATATTATGTAAAATCTATCAACACTAAAACAAATGTGACAAATTAGGTTGAGTTCAAGCTACTATTATAGGCATGTCAGAGCAACAAACAGGGCTTTTGCAAATGCCTGACGTTCATCAATAAACATCAGATTCACCAACTAAGAGAAATTTTATATTCACCACCTAATATCAGATTTGATTACTATTTCCATTATAGATTAGACATTAGTTGAATTGTGTAGAGTAATTGCCCAATGAAATTAGAAAGTCTACACTATTGCTAGTAGATTAGACATTAGTTGAGTTGTGTAGAGTAATTGCTAAATGAAATTAGAAAGTCTACACTATTGCTAGTCACTAGGACTTTTGTCCCTAAATATACTGAAGACAGCCCTTCAGTGAGAGAGCTCTAAACCATACATGCACTCATGCTGGTTAAATTCTAGAGATGTGACTTGAATTAAACTTTTGTTTTAAAAGGAACAGAAACTACCACAAAATCACAGTAAGCATGATACTAGATTCAGAGAAGCAGAAAACATTAAGAGCCAAAAATTGGTAAAATAGATAGCACAGCTTGTAAGGGAGCAAAGGATGAAACTGAATGTGTAGAGATCAATTCAACTGACAACTAAATTTTAAATGGATCGTGCAAACTTCACAGGACACCTGAGCTTAGGAAGGGTCATTGAAAGCCAAGAACCCTTTACCTAAATACAATAGAATCCAAGTCGAAAGGGTATTCGAGAATTCCTGTTGTTGGAACTCGAGCACGCAGAATATCTTGCTCAGTTGGAAGAAAGTCAGCTTGTTCAATTCGCGCCAAATCATCGAGATAGCTGAAAGCAATTGGCCATACCCACTGAATTTCTGAAGGGTAAATTTTCATGCAAAACCCTTTTAGACAAATAAAAATTTAAGCTTGCAGGTGCATACAATCTCAGTGACAACAAATGATGAAGCCATGCATAAACAGAAAAGACAAAAGCTTAGCTGAAAAAAGAAATATGGAAAAGAAACACCTGAACCATGCATTAAAATTAATATGAATGTTGAACAGGTTGACACTAAAATAGACAAAAGTATGCAGAAAGCAGTCATATGGCAAACCATGAACCTCAAACATTGTCCAACATATCACACAATGAAGATGCTTCATGCCCAGCTCCAGGTGTGAAGAGGAACACTGCCCCTTACCTAAAACGGATTTCTTCGAGATCGAAAGGATACTCTATGATGCCGGTAGTTGGAACTCGAACACGTAGGATATCCTGTTCATTGGGGAGGTAGGTAGGGTCCGCTACACGGTCAATCTCGTTCAGGTAGCTAAAAAGGAGAACAGAAAGCTCAGATTCAAAATTGGTCAGGGAAGATATTTCCTAAAATATTTTCATGAATAACATCAGTGAACAGCTTAGCACAATCAAATTTTCTGTACCACTTGACAGGCATAGACAGGTAAACTGCAGCATGAACAAAGTATTGTTGTCACACATCAGGTTTTTACAGTGGACTTAATTAGCTGTGGTCAATGGGTTCAGGTACGATATAGTTATTTTCATGTGACAGTGTCATACCATAATAACTACAATTGCACAAACTTTTCTTTACATGAGAACATTTTATATAATACGAGAAGTCTTTTTTCATGAAGAATGGCAACTTCATTTCAAAATAACAGAAGTAACTACACAACTGTAAAATTATATTTTGACTAAGAAATAGTAGGTCAGCCCATTAGGCATGTTTGCTTCTTTAACAAAAATAGTAAGAACCCTTCTTTAACCTTATTTAACATTGACAGTCAGAGTTAAAAATTTGTAAGTTTGGAAATGAGTTAAAAATTTTTGGCTGCCAGTTACTTGTTTGAGGATTTGGGTAATCATGGCATACAGGCAGTTTATATTATGTTGTTTTTTCCTCCAAGAAGAGATAGCAAACCAAACATCAGTTTGATGAGTATAGATTCAATATCAATAAAATGGTCTCATGTGCAGTAAGAAAAAAAAATGGGGGTCAGAAAACAATGTATGCCTTTGAGTATGTGCACTACCAATATCTTTTACAATGATCAAATCTCAGTGAAAAGTGGCATGGAAATGTACAAACCAATATTTTATCACAATGTGCACTCAATATAGCAGAAATTCCGGTGTAAAGGAAGACTTTTGTACCGGTTTCAAGGATTCCAGAATCGGACTTGTCTTATATGGCCGTATCATATTATACGTATAACAGTCCAGATAGGAAAATGAGTATAAACACTGTAATTGACTGCCCTTTTCCCACAAATAAGTACTAAAGAAACTTATTACAAAAAACTACTGCAAGGACAAAATAACTATGTAATTTTTGAGAATCTTAGATTGATTTTAGACACTCTACAGAGAGTTTAAGAAAATTTTCTGGAAAAGGGTTGTTTTGTGTGGCAGATTGAAACTGGGGTTGTCTTGTATGCCGTATCGTCTAATGCCAGAATCCACGGTACATAAAAAAGGTAAACAGTGCTTTATGACCCCCTGCACAGTTTTTGAAACATGACATTTCAAGGTTCACAATGTAGTGGCCATTGAGTACAATCGAAGTATGTCATTGATGGCTTGAGCCTGGTAGAACTTCATGGATTTTCTTGGTATCATCCGCAGAAACCTTACACCGCGCAAAAATCTTGAGAGCATGAAGAACCCTAATATTTCACTTCACTAAACACTTCACTGCACTTAGTACGGGGCACTTGCCAAACACCTGTACTCACTATTTGGCAGAGTCTGTAAGCTGGTACTCTCTTCTGCGATCATAGCACTCCTGGACACCTGGATCTGCCCAAAGGTCTTTGATAGCTTCCACATATGGACTCTCAAATGTTGTAACTGTCTCAAAATCTACACTGCGAACTAATTCCGCTTTATCCTGAAAGAAGATGTATTTTTAAAATAATGAATGATTAAAAAGAAACTGTTGCAACTTAAACTGATAAGTAAATTATATCTTACCATATTATCACCATTTGCAAAACTGATTTTGAGCAGAGGCATGGCCCGTATCATGCACTGCATTGCCATGAAAATATTCTGATAGACTAGCTTGATGAAGCCTTTTTTATCTTCGTCTGAGTAGCCGGAGCCATGGATAATTCGCATCTGTTTGATGAATGTTGACTTCCCTGACTCTCCAGTGCCTGAGAACAAACAGAAAATACATTTATTTTTAGTTACTTATTATTTTGATTTTTGGACATTCAAAACCGGACTGAAGAATGAAAATAAAAATTTCCACGACCTATAAACAGCTAACTTTTACTTTTTCCTAAAAAGGTCGGAGTGAGGAAGAGTTTACAAAAAAAATGCAAAAATGCGACCTGACTGACCGGAACCGGAACCTAACCTCAGTGGGAGCATCAGGCCCAGCGGCGAGAGGGAGGTGAAACACACGCTCCCCACTGCGTTCGCGAGCACCACCCTCACCCCCGTCTTTGTCACTCCCGGCGAAAGACAAAACACGGTCGGGTGGTGTTCGCGAACGCAGCGCTGCGCAGTATCGATCCGCGGACCGCTAGGGCTGTGCTGGGGCCTGACCGGGCTGGGGCTGGGGGCTGGGCTGGAGGGGTGCGGGGGAGGTGAATGAACGAGTCGTGGGTGCGAGGCGAGCCCCGCCCGGGGGAGGGGAGGAGACGGGAGGGTGAGGAGCAGGGCTGCAAGCGACCCACACCCGCACCGGAAACAGAAGCGCCGCGCAGGGCCGGGCCTTCCGCGCAGAGCTTATTGGGGGACCTGACTTTCAAGATGAGCAGGAGAGCGGGGCTAGGGTGGGACG